ATAAGTTACTAAAATTGTTTATACTTGTGATGAAGGGGGAAGTCCTTTCTTTATATATTCCCTTTCTTTTTCTGCACTATATTCTTATTTTTCTTTCTTTTCTACTTTTCTTTCTATATTTTTTCTTTTCTGCACTTCCTATTTTTTCTTTTTTCTTTTTTTAGTTTGTGTTAGTTTTTATCTTTCTAGCTGCAATGTTTAATCAAATTATTACATTATTACAGGGCAATAAAAGTATATATTCCCTTTTATAACATCTGCAGGGTGGAAGTTCACTTCGTTCCTGGTACAATCAACCTCAGAGTAAACTTGCAGTCCCACCAATCTCTTGCCACCTCCACAGAACCACCTACTTTATTGCAGGAATCCTGATATAACCAAGGTCACATAAAAGGTGATTCGAAACTCTCCCCAAAAGCAGTTCCTGATATGACAAGAGCACTGGGAAGGACATTTTCCCCACTGAGAAGGGAAGGGAGCCTCATCCTATCACCCAGCTCCATCTGGGGACAAAACGGTTGCCCACCCCAATACAAAAGATTTTTTAAAATGCTGATCTCAAATCAGGGGATGTCTCCAGCCTTTAGTGGGTATCAAAACACCTTAGGACTTCTGTCTTGGGGACCCACGTCTTCCTACAATGAAGCAAGGCCATTTTTTCCAACCAGGGCCAATATCTTCTTTTGAAATCTGTAGGCTTTCCAGGGCCACAGAGGAGCTGTGAAAAAATGTGGTGACCTCCCTAAAGATGTTAGGTGGGAGTGGGCGAGTTTTAAGTGGCAACACGGGTGAGTTCAGCCTCCCCTTATGTTAAGGAAAACATCTTAACAATGGCACTTGTCAAAAGGGGCGGTTTACCGCCACATTTTGGCAGAGCATCTGGAGAGACTGGAAGAAGGGAGGTGAGAGATGGTGATCAGATTGCAATTTTTCCAACAGCTCATTTTAAAAAGTGAAAACAAAACCCCTCAAACTTAATCAACCAAATCTGACATCTTTGTAAAAATTGAGAAACCAAGTTAAGAAGTGTTTGCCCATAAGTGGCTTGGTGGTAGAAGAGACCAGGCCATCTACTTTTACAAATTACTGCAAATTTTGGCTTGACCGCATTTTTTTGCAAGTACATAAAGTTATATGAGAATTTAATTGCAGCCCATCTCCCCTTTTGTGGCAGCAGCTTTTAGCAAGTACAATGTTAATCATGTTCCCTGGCATCACTTTTTTCACTGTTTGGGAGCAGCTCCCAATCCCATACATATTTTGGCAGAAGTAAACATGTATGTGTACACACACACACACACACACACGATCTTGAAAAGCTAAGCAACATTGGGTAACAGAGTACCAGAAGCCCCTGGAGATAACCTCAGTTGTAAAGTCACTTCTTGGCAGAAGGCAATGGCAAACCACTTCTCTTTACTTACTATAAAAACTACATCAAGATGGTCAAGGAGTCACCAGGAGTTGAACTTAATTTAAGGAGTCTCTATCTTTTCCTCTCTATTAGCAGCAATTATCTGAAGCTACTTTTCCTCTTTGTGACCTTTTCTAGCTTCTGGAACAAAATCCTTCTATGGTAAAGGTTGTGCCACACCCTCAGCAAAGCTGCTTGTTCCTGGTTACCCTGTATAGTGAAATCATGACAACATGTATCTATTTGTTGGCATCACCATGAAGAAAGCCAGAAATAGTTCATGGCAAGTTCAAGGAAGCATCCCAGTTCTCCTCCTTCTGGCTGGACTTATTGGAATCCAGGTAGCCAGCATCTTTTACTGACGTCAGTTTCCTTTATTGAGAAAATATCTCAGTCCCAAAGAGATAAATGTGTGGCTCATTCGGAGGGTTGAGTT